TACAGTCCAAACCAACTCTGAGATCTATGTGAACTTTTAAGAAGAGCGTAGGAACTTATATAATCTTTATACCCTGTGAAACATAACCAAAGGATGAGAGTTTCTTTGCAACCCATCTTATAACACATTACAATCAAGAAATTTGGACATAAAACGTGTCTTACTTCTTTTGAGCAGCAGCAAAAAATTGTTCATTATGCAAGAATATTACATCACGCACCGTTTCCCTGACCTGGAATAGAAGCAGAAGCTATAAGTACACCTGAGCCTCAAAAAGTGGTGAGGAACTCCTTAATGCAAATGTAGTACAAGACTTTATTTCAACGACGTGTTATAAGATAAAATGATGCTGGCACTTATTCATTTGATAAATTAAGTGATGTATGTGATAATACAATTAATGATACCAAGTTGTCTAATTCTTCAAGCTAAGATTACTCCATACTAAACCGGATTATTATATGTTACAGCCGACGGGAGCCTTGAAAACCCTAGAAGTAATTTGACACCGTACGAATCATAACAATACATCTATATGCTTGGTTTATATAATCTTTTACGAGAACAAATCAAACAGCAATAAGTACCTGCAGTTCTTTAACGAGTTTCATGTTTTTCATATCTACAATAGCAAGGTGACCTTTGCGTCCAGCTGCAGCCATGTAGCGACCGCTAGGGGTGAATTCAAGAGTGTAAGGACCAAAATCTGCAAAATACAAGTCAACAACTTATGTGAAACTAACTTTAGTGCGGAAGCATATATGCTTGAGACCAAACATTTCACAATTATTTTTGAAATTCTCTGATAAAGCAAAATAACAAAGGTTTTCATCTCCACAGCTTCCATTAGTGAGGCTTTTACTAAGATTCAAAAAATTATCTGCGCAAAAATCAAATTTAACGGATGAGTAATGACTAAATCCAGTTTCAGTTGCTAGGGAAGAATCACACTACGTTCCACTACTTTGCTTGCAGGTTAAATGGATAAACATGTTGGACATGCCCAAAATCAAATGAAAAGGAAACAAAGACCAACAACTCTGCAGCTTTTTCAGTATTTATATAAGCAAAATCTTCCAAAGGATTAACCTGGTAAGACGATATCATATTGTTTCCTAGAGCTCAAAATGTCAACTTCACGGGCAATTGCCTCTTGCTTTATTCTCCATGTCTTCTCAATACCTTTATCATCAACCTCTAGATAGCCACCCTCACTTGGCATAAGCCACTGACAAAAGCAGAACAGTCAGAGATTCAAGCAAATCTTGATCACCGGCATAAAAGGATATGCAATCGACAAAATCAACTTCAAGAGGTTAACAGAGACAACTTGGTACATGCAATTTAACCTAGGTTTTCTGCAGCTGAGTTTAATGGAAAAATAGATACTGTAGATGCCTAGAAATTTAAGCTAAACTATCTAAACACAGGCTAG